GGTTCAGGTCCAGCAACAGGTCTGGGGTGGGGCTGGCGCTGCTGCATCTCTGTGCAGCCCCGGGGATGTGACGCTCCTGGACAGTGGAGCAGCCGCGCTGAGTCCCAAGGCCGGGTGAGATGCGTGACACCTTTGAACCCGTGTGCTCCGGGAATGGACGGACTCCACCCAGGTTACATAAACGTAGCAGGCAGTCCCCACACAGCCCGACAGAGAGCCGAGGTAAATCCTCCGACTGCTGGTATCAGATAAGAAGCAACAGCGACCCACGTCATTTTGTCAAAACCACATTCAGAAAATAACTCAAGGAAAAGCTTACCTTGAGCTGCTATGAACTTATTCTTCTCCTTATAACCCTAGAATCATAAACGCAGATATTTCAGAATTATCGTTGTGGAAGGACTGGGTTAGTGCTGTTGGGAAAGCACCACGTGTTCATCACGGAGAATTTGGAAAACAGAACAGTAAGAGGAAAATTCCCCAGCAATTTCAGAAATAACATGCTCTCTTTGTATAACCCCCTCTAGTCTTTTATTTTCTGTGACACACACAGAAGCAGACGCAGGACATTCGTATTTTTTTAATTGGTTAATAGGTACACGTTGTCTTATACTGCATTTTTATAATAATTGTTTATTTATATTAGATCACCTTTTACGGTTCAATTAAAATGGATTCTTAATAATCCATTGCATATGATTTTGCTACAACTTATTTAACTGGCTCCCGCTGTGTGGTTCTGTCAGCACTATAAATAATGCTGTGAGGAACATCCTTTGTGCTTATCTGCTTCTTGAGAACGAATCCCTGACGCAGGTGCTAATTCAAAATTCCAGGCACTTTCATGCTCTCTGTCCTGCAGCCAGAATGGCCAGCGTGGCCAGCGTGGCCAATGTGCCCATCAAAGTTGTGACAATTTCATCCTCGGCCCCAGAAATGAAAGTGCCCATCGGTCATGATTCACACGTAGCCCCCAGGCGTGAGCGTCATGCTGAAGGGGGTGCAGGGGGCATGCACTTACATCTATATATGAAGCATTGATGTAGTCTGAATACGGGGTTCCATCCACTTGGCTTAAAATCACCCTGGAATGATCATCTGCAAAAAACCAACCCACCAACCCGTGACGTTAGGTCAAGAGATTCACATCTACTGTAGGAAACACCACAGAGGACGCAACCAGAGGGTCCACGGGGGTCACGGGACAGAAGACGTTCTTCCTAAACATCCCCGCGAGACCCTCGGTGTCATTAGTGCAGGAGAGCGTCTGTTCTATCGAGCCTGGAATCTCAGCACTGGGGACAGTCGAGGCCCCAAAGAGCTGCCCAGGGCAGCCGTACAGGCTGCGAGGGGAGACGGGGGAGAATGTCGGTGTCCAAGAGTGAAGCCTGCCGGCTCCTTACGCAGACACAGGAGGGCAGGGGCTGCGGGACCCCTACTGTGTGAGGACCTTGTTCTCTGAGCCCCCAGATCGGGCCCTGATGTTGACAAGTGTGGGTGCATGCAGGAGCACTTCTGGGGTCCACTGTCCCAGGCCTTCCGGGGAGAGCACTGCTAACCCCCTGGACCAGAAGATCTGAGGGAGGCTCTGGGGTTTGGGACGGCAGACCCCGGCCCTCGTGCTCAGGGCGCCCCGGGG